GACCGACTATTATGTTGGGAGTTTTACTGGTATGATAATTTCCCGGACACGAAAAGTCTCTGCCGCAAACCAATCGTTATTTCTCCCACGCAGTGAAGGCAACGCTGGCGTCAGCAGAGGATTGGGGCAGTTGACTCACAAAGGGGTGGTCGCGCTCGCTCAAGTTTTTCTTCAGGTGCACACCCACTTGGAAGTCTGCGTGATCCATTTTTCCAATTTTAATGTGGAAAAAAGGAGGGTGTGGAAATCAGAACTTAAAATGTTTTCCTCATAATAGAAAACACAGGGAAACCGAGATATAGTAAGAAAACTCTGCGTTAAAGTAATACCATTTTTCTTCACAGAAAAGGGGAAAATAGAAAGAAGAGAAAAGATCGGAACAAGGTCCAAAGAATACAACAGTGAGATAACCCTTTGGACTTGGCACATCACGTGGAAACACCTAGTGTTAACTTGGTCGGTGACCGGCTACGAGAAAAAGCCCCTTAGACTTTCGCTTCTGACTTTTTAAATGACACTGAACGGAAAGACGGCAGAGAAAATGCTAACGAAGCCTCAACAAATCCATTGTTTTTGCTGTTGATCAAAGCCGCAGCACTAGCAGCAACAACAGTAACAGCAGCAGCAGCAGCCGCTAGAAATCTATAAACACTCGAACGTGAGAAACGACCAGTCCCTCAAAATGGTCTTTGTCGGTAGTAGCGATGTTTCTTCCCTTCTAGTCATCGTTCTGATTTCGATGAGTTCCGTCCCAGGGGCACGAAGCTATGATGAACATGACCTCTCCATGTTCAGAGAGACGATTCCAGGGCTACATCAGTGGCAACACTTTCAAGACGGTAAAGGGGCAAGCATGGGGGCGCTGAAGGAGAAGGTGAAGAAGGTGTCAGTTTCTTCTCGCATGGAGCGGTTTCTGAACGACCTCTCCGATGGAAGGTGAGTTATTTTGGTGTTGCTATTGTTGTTATTGATGTTGCTGTTGTTGTTATTGTGTACGGCGCATAGAGCTTGCTTTCGAGTAGGGACATGCGCTATACAAAATTAAATCCTATTTATTATTTAATTTTTTTATTAGTATTATTTTTATTTTTTTTTATTTATTTTTTTTTTAAATTATTATTATTATTATTATTATTATTATTATTATTTTTATTATTATTATTATTATTGTTGTTGTTATTGTTGTTGTTAATGTTGTTGTTTTTATTGTCTTTGTTTTGCTTACATTGCTGTTGTTGTTTTTTTCTGTGAGTGAGACAGAGAGAGAGAGAGAGAGAAAGTGTGTGTGTGTTTGTGTATATGTCTGTCATTGAGTATGTATGTACATGCCTGTGTGTATGTGTGTATGCGTATGATGTGTGTGTTTTATATCACAATTATCATGTCAGGCAGCGTAATTATCCTCTAAACTATCTCTCATTTCACACTTCTATTTGCGTTAACTATCCACCACTTTATACCTCTCATTTTGTTCTTCTACATCTTACTAACTGCATTGTCGAAAAAAGGATATAACAGTTTCCAACCTTCATATAAGTTCTTCTAAAAAAAATTACGAGCACCCGAAACGCCTCGAAACATCCAATACTTGACCAAGCACTCACTTTCTGTGTCTCCTGTCTCCTTGGGGTAACTTTTTTGTAGCTACAGTGTCATGCAATAAAGATAATATGTTTCGGACACACAATACGGAAAGAAGCATTAGAGAATATTGTAACAACAGGCACGTTTGATGGAAAGAGAGGCAGACAAAGGGAAAAGATACTGGACAAAATGACAACATGACTAGGAGCAGCAAGACCAACAGACACTATTGCTTCAGCACAAGACAGAGTGAAGTGGAGGACCATGATCGCCCACGCCAGTCGACAAGGCACCGGATGATGATGATGATGATGATGATGATGATGATGATGATGATGATGATGATGAAGTTTTATTAACTTATGAGCAAAATTTGTATTGCATCTAAGCCAAAACTTGTTTATGTTTTTGTTTTGCTTTTTGGTTGTGTATTTTATTTATTTGTTTGTTTGTTTGTTGTTTTTACTTTCAGTAGAGCAAAGAGCAGCTCAAAAAACTTCTTGAACTCGGAGATGATATCGTCAAACTTCAGCTTGGACCCTTACGATGACAACTACAACTTGTCCATAAAGTGCAGCGATGCTCTAGAGGCTTGGTTTGAAAGCCTCTTCCAGGGCAAACTGTGGGCCATACGCAGTACGTTTTAGAATTCTTTGGGTTATTTTAAACTAGTTTCACCCCCTCCCACCATAAGCTAACTTTATATATGTGACGTATTTATCAGCTAAAAAGAACTATCGAGGCTTCCTCTGCCACGGCCAATGATGTTCACTGAGAGAGAGAAAGAGAGAGAGAGAGAGAGAGAGAGAGAGAGAGAGAGAGAGAGAGAGAGGGAGGGAGAGATAAGCCACGTACCATTATATAAAGGACATTTCAAAGTGGGATCGGGAATATCTACCTATTATTTTGTTTTGTATTCTCCTTTTTAGAACATGAACGATTCTGAAAAAGTTTTTAATTGAACTCAGAAAACTTGCTGATTGAATGTTACGCTCAGCTCTTGACATACTTTTCCTGGAGCTAGGAAGGATTGTGTTTTGTTTTTACAGGAGGTATGAATATTTTCTTGGCAACTGTTTCACCTTCACCTTCTCTAGTAGTCTGATTGACTGTACTGTTGGGGGTATCACAGTAGATTTTACAACCAGTTTCTTCCATTCCTCGCGGTTTTCAACATACTTTTATAGTAGGAAAATTTAGTCACGGCCAGTCTACTCTTTGATGTTGTCTTCCCTACCTTTCCTCTGTCAGCCTCTTCGCCTCATTCCTTCTGCTGTTTTCTACAGGATAGCCTTGGCAACTGTTAGATCATTGATATGCAAATAGAATTGCTGATGGAAATAATCAGGAAAAGACAAATTAAGTGCAGTTTGTTTCTGGGACACTTGAATAGACATAAAGGCCTTGCATATTTAGCTCTCACTCACAAAACTGAAGGTAAACGAGGCAGAGATAGACCCAGAGCCAAATGCACCAATTTAGAAGATCTTGTAATATAAGGAGAGTCATGACATGATTGGTATGTGCGGGGTTTTTTTCTCTTCTTATTCTTTTTAAAATCTTATTCCGATTAGTTGGCTCAAGTGCAGGGAATCGAGACAGCTTAAACCGAAATCTGCAGCGGGACCACCGAATTTTCTCCGGTTGAGCCTGGTTTTCGGTTTACAGAGGTTTTTATCAATCAAGGATTTTATTTTCTATCTGTGTACTACTGCTTTCGGAAACACTGTGCTCGGTTTAAACGGACCACACTGAATACGTTTATCCCTATATCCATATTGTTCTGTTTTCCACAGTGTATGGCATGGTATCGGTGGCTTAGTGGTTAAGCTATCGGGTCCGTATTCGTGAGATTGGGGGTTCAGGAGTTCGAGCCTCAGCTCGGTCAAACGTTGTGTCCTCGAGAAAGGCACTTTGCACGAATTTCCAATTTGACTCGGTCCTTTCAGTGATAAACGTTAAACCCGGCTGAAATCGGTCCTTTTGAATAAAAAAATTAAGTTATTCCGGCATCCGATCCGGACATTGGGGATTGCCTAGTTAGTGAGACAACTTTCTGGGTCTTCGGCATATTGTGGTAGGGTGGCCAGTTCCTTTCCACGCCACCTTTAACTCCCCAATTCGAAGTCAGGTACCCATTACTGCTGGGTGGGCAGGAGGGGGCGAAAAAAATCCGTGTCCGAACCGAAGCTCGAACCCGGACTTTCTGCTTCGGAAACGAGCGCACTAACCGCTCCGCCGCCGCACCCTCTACCTTTTAAATGACCTATTTAAATAGTACTGATAGGGGCGTTAAACCTATACCATTTGGGATTTCCATAGTGTATGACGCTTGGGGAAAGACCGACTCCGGTGTGCTGATGGGCCACTTTCGATCCTACGGAGACTTCACAGGCTGCAAGCAACTGGTGGCTGACAACGTGACTGGGGTCAAGGGCGGGGTCATACGAGGACGGTACTGCAGGGTCATGCAAGAGGTATAGAAGAATGAGCACTTGGTCACCACAAATGTTTTTGTTTGTTTGTTTGTTTGTTTGCTGTTTGGTTGGTTGGTTGTTTGGTTGTTTGGTAGGTTGGTTGGTTGGTTGGTTGGTTAGGGGGGGGGGCGAAGAAACGAAGACATCAGATACCAAGTGGGTGTCGAATTGAGAGTGAAATACATAGAAATACAAAACATAAGGTGAGTTGAGTACGTTATAAGAAAGGTTTAAACCTGTCTGTATGCCCAGGGTTGTATTCTTCACATGTTAGAATACTTCTAGTACGAAGATCTCTTTGAAACTTTCAGTATTTCTCAAAAAGTCATTTTGACCGACTGCTCAGCAAAGCGTACGGATCGGATTAGCGAGTAAATTTACTCATTGGAAAGTGGTGGCACAGAGTTCCTCACGTTGTATAGATACGATATTAATTTACAACTTACGGATAGAATTGAATTATGTGATTCGGTGCCCTCAAGTCAAAGGGAAGACCAAGAAAATGATAGATCGAAGGCACAATATGACGATCCAAAAAGCAACACATCTGTCCCACTTCCGAATATTATATCATCTACTATCCACCCTCGACACCTTATGTATAAGAGGAAAGATTTTTCAAAATAAGTTTCCATAGTTTTGAACATGTCTCATTCGTGTTGGAGCTGTACTTGAAAAAAGAATGTCTCTCTTTAGTTCATGCTGGACTACGGAGTGGACGGTCCTGGTTCCAATTCACAAAAGAGGGATTTAAGCCCTAGTTGTTTCGGGGACTTGACACAGTTGTATTGGAAATGGACGTAAAATTCGGATATTCCGAATTATATTCAATAACCTTATAATGTTGAAAGAATTTTGCAGCATATGCAATGACTTACGTCCTTTTTTAAACAATCTATTGAAAACTCTCCCAAAACCAAACAATCTCTGAGTGTGTTT